TTATTTAGTAGTGAATTAGCAAATCCCGTCCTTGGAACTGAAAGCACAGACATGAGCTTCGTTTTGATCAATTCAGGCAATCTTAGTCAGAGGGAAGCGACGGTGATGTCCTGTTAGCTCCTGAAACCACAAAGAAGAAGAAACCTTGTGAAGCGCCTGGGAGGTCAGCTTGACGCCGCTGGGACGTCGCACATGAGGGGAGTCCCTTTGGGGCTGTGGGAGAGTTGAAGACACTTGCTTTTTGTTCCTTAAAATATGCTTGTTTTTTTTTTGTTGTTTTTTTTACCCCCCTACCATTCAGGTCAGTGTTGGATATGATTTTAAACATCCTTGTAAGTGTAAGGATTTGAGTTTCTGTGTTGTTTTGTAGTAAATTTAGTTTCTGTGTTGTCCCGTCTACCTCTTGACTGTTTCTAGCTGTCCTTCATTTCCCTCTGTGCATTTTAGCCCACCTGTGTCACCTGCTCGCTGTTGGATTCTTGTCGTGTGTCATTTTGTTGTGTCACTTGCAGTCGTGTCTTGTCTCCTTGTGTTTTGCTTCCAGTTGCTGCCAGTGTCTGAGCTCCTTCTACTTTTGCTCACCTGTTCTGCCTAGAAGGGTCTCTGAGAAGCCTGAAAAGGGGATTTTAGAACAATAGTAAGATCTAGTTCTACTAACATGAGGTAGCTCTTAACTTACCTTGTCTGGCTCTGGTTGGTGCCTCATTGTGTCTTCACCCAAGTTTCTCTCCTTACGTTTTGTATATGTGCCATTAGTAACCCATTTCTGTGACCAAATCAAACTGGGAAAACTCCTAATATTAAAAAACCAATGACTAAACAGACCATCACTGGCTACAATAGGCTGACTGACCTTTGACCTAAAGAATCCCTGTTGCAGCACAGCCAACTATTTCTCAAACAGGAAAGACAGCTTCAGATAAAAGCTGCACCGCCCACGTTTGCCCCAATTTAACCGTTTTGTCCTTGTTTTCACTTTTCCATATGGTTTAATGTCCCCAAAATTTTAATTTCAGGCTACAACCACACAAAATCTTGTGCAACCAGGAGGGGTTTTTACTGCATCACCTCCTACTGTTTGATATCTTTCATAATATAAAGTTTGTTGCTGCAGCAAATGTTATGTAAACATAACTCTGCAGCTGAATTGTCCTCATGATTTCAGTTGAACTGGGGAAACCTGGCACAACGTTTTATGGTAAAGATGCTCATAAATCAGCGGTTCAGTGGTGTTCAAACATTTCAGCTTCTGATCCACAAAATCACTGCTTGGATAATAAAAGACAGCTAATAAGCCAATTAAAAAGCATTTGAATGCACCATAAATCCAGATTTCTAAGGCCTGCAGAATGTCCTTTTTCTCCTGCAGACGTCAAGTTGAAATTCTGCTGAGCAATTAATTAAACATGTATTTGGTATCCAGAAGATCCCCCATTTGGTGTTTCTTGACCCAAAGTGGTGTCCTGACCTCTAACTGGGAAACCACTGCTGTGACTGTGGTTACCACTGGAATTTACTGAACTCCAGTGGGATGAGTTCAAATGTGAGAGGAAAATCTGTTTGCTCTTGGAGAATAAAACCGTCTCATCTTCTCCGAAAACTAAAATCCAAAGCAAATATTTTGTAAATCAATCATCTTGAGGTTTCAGACTTATTTACAATACTTCATATTTGACCTTTCAGTGACCTTTCGCCGATGACGGAAATCCAACTCGTCGTCAATCAGCTGTTATTATCCAATAAGGTAAGTTGGATTTGGAGTAAAAATATTAAAAACAGAAAAATTGTACTGACAATAAGCCAAGAAATGTAATACCCAAAACATCACATTGTTCATATTCTGGTTTTAAAATACATGAACTGTTAATTAATGTACTTTTTTTCTCTAAGACTGTCACACAAAGGATGAGCATACGTGAAGTATAATAATTGACAAACACTACACACGTCACTGATAAATACTGATCCGTAACAATGTTCTTTAATTAGCATATTACTGAAAAGCCCATATATTTCAGGGACCTTATCACTAATTGTAGCACATTATTAAAGTCAGAAGAGTGTTTGAAAGCCTTTAGTTCTGTTAATTATGATTATTTTCCATATTGGAAATGTGAGGTTTAAATTAGAATATTATATCAGATCAATAAAACAACTATTTCTAAAAACAAAAATGTGGGCTTTTGGAAACGTTTGAAAACTGCTTAACTTTCAAAAAATATTTTCAATCTGATAAACGAACCTCATCTGAATGAATATTCTGATTTATTCAAAGTGACAGTAAATGTTGTTTTCTTGCTGCATGAACTCCCCTCTTTCTCTTGGTGACACAGTGACAGATATTTGTAGCTGTGTGTTTAATACAAGAAGCATAAAGAAGAACAGGAACAAACTAATAAAAACTCGGTCTGTTTTTTCGAACATCAACGCTGCAACGTAACTGCATGAATATGAAAACTGTAACCCTAAATGTCGTACGGAGCAGGCAGTTATTTGTTTTATTAATTACAGTTTGTTCTATGTGACCTCTCTCTGAGCCTTCTCCAAAGCCCATGTTCTTTGCTTTTTTGGCAAAAACACCACTGAGCTCAGCCCAAAGGATAAAACCCAGACATTAGCTAAAATAGACAGTAAGGCTTGCAAATAGATTGAGGAAAACACTGGTCTCATCCAGAATACACTTCTGCGTCCCAAGCAGACCGGTCAGCTGGGGCTTTTGGTGCTAAATCAAATATGGAAAGACCAGTACCATGGATAATACAGCATTAGGTCAATCTCCTCCTGATGTTTGGATTGTAATTAATGATTTACTTTAATCACAGAGTTGAGAGGCCTTCAAATATTTACATGGTATTTGCTTTTGTTTTAAATTTTTGAGTTTTTCTCCTTATATTGGGTGTTTTTTTCCCCCTTTTACTCCATGTGATGGAAGACTGTAGAGCAGAAAACAGATGATTTCACTTGTTTGAATCGGCATCCCAGGGTGCAGGATATCTGCAGCTTATTAGCAATTAAACTTACGTTCCGAGTTTGATGAAGTTCGGGGAAATGCATGCACAATGAGGTCTTTCTTGGTGTCGTTTATTTTATTTTATTTTATTTTTTTGTTCAGACGTTGGATTTCTCAAGGTGCACAAATAGAGATAAAGTGTAGCTCAAATTCATCCCGCAACAGAGGCCGAAAAAAAACGGAACCAATTTCCGAAAAAATTTGGCCTATCCACAGCTTCATCCTTCACGTGAAAACAGGCTTTAAACAAACATTTAACAGCTGATGTTGTCAACATGCCTGAGCTAACTTCAATGAAACAAACATGAGGTAATGCAGACATTAATGCGGCGAACGTCACCGGTATGAAGGATGCTGTGTGTCTTGGAAAGCAGAACCCATTAGGCCGCATGCAACAGTCTGGTCCGTCAGGTCTGTGTCTGAGAGAGTAATGAGTTTGGCTGTGGCTCTAGTCAGTAAAAAGGACCTCTCTTCAACCTTCTGAGTTGAAATCCTAAATATGTGCCTCAAGGGAGAGCGGCCCGACGGACACTGACAGGTCTGTCGGTGACGGCGCGTCAACTGAGCTTTTCACCATGCAAGTTCTTGGTGCCTTCCACAGCCGCTCACATTCATCCTGTATTTGGTCAACTTGGGACTCCAGCCTAATAGGTTGAGATAATACAGTTATTTTCCCCATTGCCAATTCAAACCACGAGACAGAATGAGGTGCTTATGATGTCTTTGTAGAGTTTCTCCTCCCTTTATGTGTCTTTGTGATTCCAGAGGAAATCACTTAACCGTGGACATCACAAATCATCCTCAGTGTTTCCTCATTTACTCAAAGCAGGTGTTCTTGTTGTTTTTTTATCTTCAGCTTGGGGTCTGAGTTACTGTCAATGCTGTTTGGTTAGGGAGTGGGCAACAGCTGGATTAAAATGATCCACCTTTTTCCAAGTAAGCTGTTACCTAAAGAATGTCAAGAATGGATTCTATGCTTGTCGTCAAAGCAGGTTCTGTCACACGGTTTACTGGAAGGGCACTGAAATACTTTATGACCAAAATGATCAACAAGTCTTGTCAAAACAGAGTCAAGTAGCTAGCGTTTGCTTAGAAACTCACTAAACCTGTGTGTTTGCATTTCAGCTACTCAAAAATGAGCATTGATTATCTTAAAAGGACACTAAAATGTGAGTTTTACATGGGATTTCCGTGGTTTAATGCCAAGGAAAGCTGCAGAGTAAAGGTACCACAAATATCAGGTTTTCCTTTAAAGATTCCAGAGAAATCTGGTCTAAATCTGGAGGTTTAAATGTTTCACTTTTGGAAGTGAAACTGATTTTAGTCCAGATGGCATAAAAACTGTGAAATGAATCAGAAGCCATCTCTTCATCATGCTATTTAATGATTTGGAGAATATTGAGACTGTAAAACCTAATAACGCGGTACATGTTTTGTCTTCAAATGTTCTGTTGGAAAAACTGCCTTAATCTCTTGCTGTTACAAGATTTCCAATGCAAATTAAATTTTTTTTTCCTTTGTGGCAACAGTTTGTTGCCAAATGTGTTATTTTGGGGGATTTCTCAGCTATTTGTGGAGTTGCTCACAATGGAATGCCTTGTTCTCAGTGTTTTTTATTTTTATTTTATTTTTTGTCACTTGTAGTAAAATAATAATAATAATAATAAAAATAAAAAAAAAACAGTAAGAAAAAGTTTTCTTACTTCTTGTCAGGAGATGGTAATGAGAACCATAACAGACTAATTGTTATTCTGGTATGCAGTTTGCTCTTTTTTTATATTCAATCTGACTCGTCCAGATATTTCTGTGTGCAAATGTTTGGCTGACAGTTCAATTTATTGTAGATTGGGAGCACAGGGGTTGTGTGTGTGTATGCGTGTGTGTGCGTGCATGAGAGAGAGAGTGCATGTGTGTGTGTTTGTGTCTTTTCCCCTCTTCTTTTTCTTTCCTCGCTGGCAGCCACGTCTCAGCAGTTGGCAGCAGTGACCAGAATAAAAACAGCAACACCAGACTCGGAGTGGGGGGAAAGAGCAGAGTCGTCTCCCCTCTTGTTATGACACAGCGTCTCCCCCGTATCTTTTTACCTTTCTCACTCTGCTTGTCCGCTCTTTGAGACCTCGGGGAAGAGGTAATTAGCTGGGAGAGAATAAAACCAGCTGATCGGGAGAGGGGTGGTGCATTCTGGAGAGAGATGGCTGACAGAAACAGTCTCTTGCTCGTCTGTGGAGTCGTCCTCCTTGGGTTGATTCAGTCTTCTCTTCAAGGAGGTAAGTGTGCAACAGGTGAACTCTGCAGGAATTTGGGCTGCATCGGTCACAGACTTAGCTCAGGCACAATTTATGCATTATTTTAAACAACCATTTCCAGCTTAAGGTGATCAAATTAAAGCTTTCCATCTTAAACTCATGCATATTCATGTCATTATTATTTTATTGTTAAAGGGCACTTTGTTGTATTCCCCTTTGAAGAAAAAGCTCAGATTTAGTTTAATGGAAGTGCTTTTTGCAATGCATTTTTGAAAATGACAGATCAGCAGCAGCAAACAGAGAAAAAAGGCAGTGGATGCAAGTGGTGTCATTATTTTTTGCTTCATATTTGCATCAAACATCTGTTGCTGCAGTTTCAGGAGGAAAAAAAAAAGTGAAGATCTCTGCTCTCCCACAGTTGTGTGAGTCCGGCCAGACGTCTGTGTCCAAAGATTTGAACTTGTTATTGGATCTAAAAGTGACTCCTGCAGCAGATAATAATCCTGGCCTTTCACCTCTTGTCATGTTGTGCAATCTAAAGCGGAATTTTATTGCGTTGGTTCGTTACGCAGGCTCGTTTCTCATGGGTTTGCGCACTTTATTGTATCTCCCATAGCTGAACTGGCTCCTACACACACCTCTGCATGTGTATGTGCATGTTCACTTGGCCCGAGATCCCATCCTTAAAAAAATGTCAGACCCAGAAGCTTCCAGCTGGCCTCTCTTTCTGTTCAGAGAAACCACACACAGATTGAATGCACCCTCGGCGAGCCCCCTGGGTGGATCAGCTCGCCGCGAGGGTCGCAGAGAAAGCTTTGACTAGATAGTCTGTTGTTGCAGATATGAGAAAGTGGCTCCGAGTGCGGCTCGAAGTCACGCCTTATCTGCTTTAGACAGCGAGGAAGAGGAGAGCGAGGCTGTGAGCATGCCTTTTCCTCCCACTGTCATTCAGCTCGCAAGATTTGTTTTCCCTCCTCTATTTGCGTTGCTTTGATTGGTTCTCAGTCTGTGTTTTGGCCGAGAGTCTTGAAGTTATTCAACCTCCAAATGGAAAACATGTTAATCATCCGAGCTATAAATGCTGCCGTGAATTCCATCCTTCTTCCTTTTTATTTATCATCTTAAGAGTCGCAGCTGTTTGTTCTCCCTGTCCTCCAGTGTCCCTGCTCCTTTTTTTTTCTGTTTTCTGAAATGTTGTAATTTTCCCAAAATAAATATTTAGGGGACCTACATTAAAGTTCTCCTCACTCCAGTTGCCTCTTTTAATCAGCCCATGCGGTGAATAATTTGCCTGCTGTCAGTTCGAAGACCGCGCCGTCTCTCTTTTATCTCGCCCTCTTGTACAACATTCATCTGTTGCCTTCCATGTTTCAGCTGAAATTTTGAGCTGCTGTCAGGTTAAATAATAATAATTTTAAAAAAGAGCCAAAACATTTCAATACTGACTTTGGAGCACAACTTTGATCTCAAGCGAATACTGAATCCATCTCTATCAAACATTTCTGCGAGGCTTAAAGTAGAGCCATCTGCGCGTGCACTTTAACCTGACAAAAATGCCTCTGTGCATGGTCCAAGGGTGAATTATCTGTGAGTAACATGAACCTCATTAACACCCCACACACCCATTCAACGCTCCTGGCCAGAAAACACCTCTTTATGTCTGAGAAAGTCAGAATTGCGGTGTGAAGCCAGACTTGTCTGAAAGCTTTCCATCGACAAGAATAAATGAGTTATAGTCTTAGAGGAAGCATCTGGCATGTTTTTCGTTACTATTTGTGCCCCCTCCCATGCTACTCAGTGTCTGTTTTGCTGGTTCCCTGAAACGCTGCAGAATTTTCATTTGTTTTATTTTTGTCACACTGGAACAATTGAATCTTTATGCAACTTTTAACACTGAGATAAACTGAGTGAAAGTAAAATGCAATTTTCAAATTCAGATTTTATTTATGAAGTAAATTTCCCAAAATAAATATTTAGGGGACCTAAATTAAAGTTCTCCTCACTCCAGTTGCCCCTTTTAATCAGCCCATGTGGTGAATAATTTGCCTGCTGTCAGTTCTTAGACCGCGCCGTCTCTCTTTTATCTCGCAGATAGATTAAATTAACCTATTAACCACATTTTACTGCATCAATCATCTATTGGTAGGAAAAGGATAATAAACCCAAACTGATCTTGCATGTAAAGTATCCCAAATCAGAAAATCACATCAGTCAGACATGGCGGTGGCTGCATGATGCTGTGGACCTGTCTGGACCCCATTCTGTTGTGTTGAGATTCTTAGGGTCTTTTATCATTTCTGCCTCTTGCCGTTATTTTTGACCAGAGACGTCAAAGTCCGGTCCACATTAAAAAGTTGCAGGGCCACCGGCTCCCGAGGACTGGAGTTTGACCCGTGTGGTTTCCGCTCTCTTTTACGCATTTAATTTTTAGTTTAGTCAGGTTCTTGTGTGTCTTGCTTCACTGGTCACCTTCTCTCAGCACCTCCATTCATTTAGCATCACTGCTGGCGCGGGTGAAGCCCATTCACAGTTCCTCGCTCAACTGTTTGTATGAAAGCAGGGAAATAGATGCTCCATTGACGGAGCACTGCTCTGTAAGCTTTTTCCAAGTGCAGCTGGAAGCCAATTTGTCTCCTTTGGCTCTGGTCAGATCACTTTACTATGCAAATCAGTGAAATTTGCTTGGCATTTATTAAGCTTGTTAAAAATATCTCTTGAGACTGGTGAGCAGGCGTGTTCACTCCAAAAACATGAAGTAATTGTAAAGCTTTTGAACCTGAACGGTTACAGTGATGCTCCTGGACTTTTTGGTTGCATGTTGTGTGCTTCTCTTTGGGTCCGCTCCCCTGTTCTGCCAAGCTAACGGGCCAACTTGAGTGATGGGACTGTACGGGTCCCATCACTCAACACGTCGGCTCTGCTTTTAAAGAAAAAGACCAACTGAGCCCAAGTTCAGACAAAACACAGACTGTTCTCTCACAGCGAGGTTTTAATTTTGCTTCTTTATTGCTTGATCCACTAAAGCAGTTTAATTTGTTAATATTGAGTGGCTTTGTGTGATTTCATAGCATGATGACTTCATTCTGAACACATTAGGGATGACTCTGTTTGGCTTCGAGCACTGATTGAACTCCACTTGTTATTGTGAAAGTACTTTTGTTCGTAACGCCCGGATTTCCATAAGAGAAGTTCTCATGTCAGGATTCGGTTGCTAATAGCTCACTTTCCATAATTGGCCCGATTATCAGCCTCACTTTTTATAAATCCAGACTGGTTTCTCCCAGACTAAACTGCTGTAACGAGTAAAGAGTGGAGCTATATGGTCATTTCTCAGGAGTCAGGGCTTATTACTCACCTGAAAACTGTTCAACTTGAGCATCGTGCAAGAGCAAAAAGAAACCAAAGCCAAATGCAAGATGCAACACGAGATTTAATTTATCTTAGCTTTTAACATGGTAGAAATCTGGCAGGTTTTTAGCTGCAGTCGCTCGTAATAAATGTGTTTTTATACAAAGTGAGGGCACAACAAAAGGCTTTTTGCTGCTCGTAGTCAGCAAAGCCAAACTCTGAAATGCAAACAGCTTAATTAACTGGTCGTAGAATTTGTCTTGGCGATAGAAATCCACTTACATCTTCATTCCACTTGGACTAATAATCAACTTCAGGCTCTTGCAGAAACTAGTCTGTGAACACGGATGAGGACGATAAATAGAGATCAGCTCTAACAGTCTTTTAGCTGAACCTCACTTCAAAGCATCTGCACTATCTATTTAGGAGGGACACTTCCATCCACATTTATAGATTCACATCAAAATCTCGGCCAGAAGCGATTGCTAACACATTGGCTAAAAGTTTCTCCCATCAAGTTTTTATTATAACTGCTGAGAAAGGTTTTGCGAGGATTACGCCGCAGATTTATGAATGGATCGGCTGCTTTAATACGTGGTCTGTTTAATCCAGTCCCTTCAAAAGAATAAATGGGCAACTTTGCAACGTCTCAAATTCTCTCCTGAAGCTGTCGCTGTCACGACAATGTTTCCGTGAGGGGCGTTTACATTGATTTCCCTCATCATCGTCGGTGCATCTAATACTTATCTGCACAGCGTTTACTGTTTAGGCTCGGATGAAGTCAGTTTTAACGTCTCACAGTCCTGTGTTTGGTCTGCAGTTGGTCTGTGCCAAATCCTCAAAGAAGAAGCACATTAACTCACCAAGCTGCGATCTATCAGAAGCAGACTCGCTGCAGTCTGGACTGGCTCCTGTCGGGAATGTTTTCATTCTCCTTCAGGCACTATTGATGTCCGAGATCTTTTAAGTTTAGAGGCAACATGACAAGATGTGAACACTATCATGATTTTCTTTCTTTTTTTTTTTGCCTGGCTGATTAAATGCCAGTAACTGGAACCTTACACAGTGCTATTGATGCCCTCTAATAAGTCTGTCAGCTTAATCACTACATGGTTGAACTGTTTGTTCCACCAGCTTGTAGCAATTTATCATAGTGAACGGTTATCTTAGCGGCTTTCTTTATTTCTTTATTCTTTTTTGGGGTTTTTTTTGTTGTTGTTCATTCAGAAGACATGACTTGCCTAATCTTGTAATGATTCCCTGTCAGCTTGTAGAGGAAAAGCGTCCGTCAGTTCGTTGGAAGGCACAGTTGCAGGATTTGTGTCTTGTCTTTGATTCTTGCTTCAATGCTTTAGGGAATCAGAGACAAGGTTGGACATGACCAAGAGAGAGATGGTGCCGTAGGATAAGATTAATTTTGTGAGATGCATTTGACATGATTTTGCTTCATCCTGAGCCTGTTAGTAACATGGTTACCTAAATGCACTATCCCTCGGATCGGCTGTGCGTCACACTGCAGCCCGAAGTGACCCAGTTCCGTTTGTTTGTTTGTTTGTTTGTTTTGTTTTGTTTTATTGTTTTTTACGTAATGCGACCTGTTTCTGATCTTTTCATGACAGTCTGAACAGCACAGGTGAGATTCTGTTTGAATGCGACCCAAATCCTATACGCAT